GCAGCAGCCCAGGGTTCAAATCCGACCTGTGGCCCTTTGCTGCATGTCATCTCCTCTCTCTGCCCTCCTTTCCTGTCTATCTTCAGCTGTCACTATCAAGTAAAGGCAATAAAAACCCCAAAAAATACTTTAAAAAAAAAAGATATCCTGTAGCACCACCCTTAGGACAAACTTTGCATTTTACTGATGAGGCTCTCAGAATAACATAGATATCAATATCTTCCATTCAAAAGTTTCATGCAATGGAATATTACAGCTTCGAGGGGCCACTAGCTTTAAACTTTTCTTTCTAGTCTTTGGTTATTAGAAACAATAGTGAACATAATTTTTTTTTTAAGATAACAAATTTGTAACATCTTTATTTTGTTTTAAATTATACACTGAGAAATGGTTATACTGCAAGTCATTTCTTAGTTCTCCATGTCACATTGTTGGCCACCACCTTCAGTTCATACCTTTTTCTGCATAGGGGATCCTCACACACTTGCCATCATCCCCCCGAAACTGCCATCCATGAAACGGGCACTCTATGCAGCTTCCCACCACCTGTCCTCCCACAGCCAGGTTGGCACCCAGGTGAGGGCAGTAGGCATCCAGCACGTAGGCCTTCCCATTTTGGCCCCGAAACACTGCCACCTGCTCACCTAGGATGATTAATTACAGCAAGGACAAACACTTTCATTAATGAGCCGCCACTCCGGAATACACTGTAATGTAATGAAAGTTACACGTGACATTTGGGGATTTAAGTATAAAAAAACAGGTTGATAGTTTTCACTTAAATACTCAAAATGAATTATACTGACTCAGTGTGGTTGTGTCTTTCTATAGAAGTGGTAGAATGTAGCAATTTTAAAATGAATTAACTAATGAAACTAAAGTTTTTGTTTGCAGAAAATTAGACAATTACAGTCAAAACTGGTTCAGTATGTGTATAGGGGGGTTGGTGTGTGTGGCTGTGTCTGTTTTACTACTACCACAGTGGGTAAGTGAAACAGAAATGTTTAAATTCTCAAATGATTTTGCAAAGGATAAGCAGCAAATGTTTCAAGTCACTGCTTTAGGTGGTTACACCTGGCCTTCTCTGATTCGGATCAGTTATAGATTATAGTACAAAGTAGACCCTTTGGATGGTGCATGTTCGGACTGAATCTATGTCTAGTTTGACACCACATGTAGAGACCTACTTTATCGGCTATATTTGGCTTGATTTATAGCTGACCTATACATTGCTCCCAGATTAGCACAGGATGAGTGACCGTGGTTGAAAGTGACCGCGGAGCCAGCAGTGCATAGTCAGGGTACTCTCCAGTAAAATTCGGAGAAATCCAAAATAAGGCGTATCCAAATGAGTGACACAGCACTGCTCTGCTGCCCCCAGACTGTTCTAGGGCAGAACTGAAGCACAGCGCAACGTGTGAGAGCAGCACAGGGGAAAAGACACACAAGGCAGAATTTGATATGATGTAAATTGATGACTAAGGAGACAAGTAAGGAGTCAGACGCTGCATTCACTCACAGCAGGATGCAGCTCCTGAAGGTCGCCAAGTTTAGAATTGGACCAACAGAATTTGGGTCAGTAAAATATCAGGGGGCTGGAGGGAGAACATGTGCTGAGAGGGAGAGAAAGGAGACCAGAGGGATTTGTAAGAAAAATACAATTCTGTCGTATCGACTGTATATTATGCATTATGGACAGAAATGCATTCAAGTTCTCTAGGTCTGTAAATGTATTGTTTTCCAATACAGTATACCCCTGTGGTTTTCTGGCAGTCCCTCATCCCCACTGGTCTACATCACACTTTGTGTCTAGGAACTTCAATAACCTGCTTGTGGAACTTATTGTGGTGGCCATTTTTCAACATTTGTTAAAATATTTTTAAATGATTCATCGTTTAATTCGAAAAAATAGTTAAAAGATGAATTAAGGATCAAAATAATCTGTACTCTGAAGCACTCTGCACTCTTTTACTGGTGGATCTTTTTCAGGTATAAAACCTTTCATATACTTTTTGTTTATTTATGGAAGGTGATGTGACAGAAACATGAAAGCCCCACACACTCTTTGAAACCTTTTTGAACCCAAACTCAAAGCAACTCTCTGAAGAGATCAAACAGTCTCGCCGGATATCAACACGAGCGTAACAGAACTAAAATGTGAAACACGTATCTGTTTTAAATCACGTCCCTCCATGAAAATATGCCCGAAACAAAATGCATATCAGTGTGTGAAATGAATGTGAATGTTGTATCAACTTCCGCATATCAAACAGCACAGAGACGTAATCATGGCATATCAAAAGCTATCATATATAGCAGATTAGATCACTATAAACAAAGAGCTCAGCTAAATTAAAATTGAGACTTTGTAATTTACTCAAATTAATTTGATTTTAATGAGATGATGATGTTTAACCTTTGGCTGTAAATCGGAGCTGTTTAATGTTTAAATGATGAGGATATCTGATCTACATGTGATGGTCTTCTTTAAGATTAGAATAGTGTAATAGAATGCTGTATTCTGTAACCGAGCGTCCTTATGATAAACTTAATAAAGGAGCAGTCATAAATGTGCAAAAAAAAAAACAGGGCTGACGAGATGAGCTGCAGACAGATACACACACGGACACACAAGCACACGACCAAACGCATGATCCCCCTCCATACTTACGCCTGGTGGAGATGATGAAAATAGTGGTTAGATGCAGTTTCACTGTCATTATGCAATGAGTCAATCAATATGTCTGACAACAACGTCGGCCTCCATGGCACCTTCAAATCAAACACCCCGTTTAAAGCTTGATTGAGCTGAAACAATGAGGTTTTGTTCAAACAGAAAGCGTTACTAAGCACCCTAATCCCTAAACTACTCTAACAAAGACAGGAGGCCATTGTGTCACAAATGTATAAAATACCAACAACAAAAAAACTTTGTAATATGAGCTTGTCTCTTCTATGCTGGCAATGTAGCCTCACTACCCTCCTACCTGTGACAGGACAATACAGACAGGTGAACTCATGAATATCAGGGTTGTAGAAAGGGCATCAGTGGATATTAACACCTTCAAGGAATAATCAGAAGTGAATTATCTGATTTCTGATTACACCTCCTACAATGTAGGAACTGAATCATAATGTATTTATACTTAAGATTATTTACAAAATGATGCATTAACAGAGTTAGATGTGAATGTAATGACAACTGAAAAATAATTTGGAGCGTTTGTTTGAGTAAAACATTTAACCTCATGTCCATTTGTGTGACATTTCACATGTACATGACTACAG